GTGTTAGGGATTAGTTTGTGCTTATCTTGTTTAAAGGTTGCGACTTTGTTTAAAAGTGTAGTCATTTAGTATAAATCTCGATTTAATCAACTAGGATCACTTGGCAATGTTGATGTCCCTCGGTTCTTTTGTGTTTATTCGAGTGATAGACACCCCGGTTGACCAAAAGCTCTCATCTTTGTTTTTAAGTTTTCATTTGCTTTCGATTTCCAATTGCGAGTAGTGTTTAATTCAAACCCCCCAATTTGTGAGTAGAATGTTTAGGATCTTTTTGGTTGTGTGACTTTGACGACTAGATAGTGAACGAAGCTCCGAAGAGCCTTCCTTTGAGAACGACCCGAGTCGTGTAACTCGGTTTCCACATGCCCAAAAATACTGCAAACACACTAGCCCTCAGGCACCAAATTCCGCGGGCGCGAAATCCTATTCGCGAGCTACACCAAACTCGCGAGCTAGGGCCAGCTTCAGAGAACAAAATTCGAGCCCTCTAAATCCGTGGCCTATCCCGCAAAATGCCCGCAACCCGCGAGTTCCCTTCTGCTAGTGAAAACAACCCGCGAGTTTACTACCCTATCCCGAGAAAAGGCTATAACCCACGAGTTCAGCTAGAGCATGTCCAAAGGAGAAATTTCGAGCCCGTGAAGATGTTGCTCTATCCTGCGAGTTGCCTCTAACCTGCAAAATCAAGTCGCAAAACCGAAGACCCATCCTGCGAGTTCAACTTACCTTGCGAGTTTTTCTCATTAAATGTATGTGTTTTTAGTGTGTGTTTGTGGTGTAGCTATAAATAGACATCTTGCTTTGTATTTATGGAAAAATCCTCATTTGCTAAATTTTTCTATTGTTAGTTTTTTTCTCCCTTCCCTCTAACTTCTTTCTCTCTCTAAGGGCTCCAAGACCCTATTTTTAATTGTAATATTTCTCCATCAAGATTACAACTTTTTGGCTTATTTCTTCTAGTGGATGCACTAGAGACTTGGAGACTTTATTTAAGGTTCATGATTTCGTAAGTCTTGCTCGTCTTCACTTATTGGATTTATTCCAAGGTTAAGATTGACACATCCATGAGTCGATTATGCTATCATCCTCGTAGGCTAGGGATTATGTGATATTGTTATTGATTGCGTGAGCGAGAATTGAGTGAGAAGTTAATTGATCACGAGTGACTTTCGCTTGGTTGCATATTACCAAACCTATGAGTGCCTTCTTTCCATCTCGGGTCTAGGAGTACCTTGTTCTTTTTCTCTTTGTTTTCATTTTTCTTGCAATTTGAGGACTTTCTTGCGATAAATTGTGAATCTTGCTTTCGTCTTAGTCTAAATTGCGTTCTTAGCTTAATCAGACCCCCAAATTGCGAGTAGAGTGTTTAGGATTTTTATTTTCTTTTCTTGTGTGAGTCAATCATTGCTTGAATCCGTGTCTGAACAACCTTCCTTTAAGAACGACCCGAGTCCAGGTAACTCGGTTACCAATTGCCCAAAAATACTACAAACAAAATGGCATCGTTGTGGGGAAGGCGAGTAGGCCATTGGTTTGTTTATTGTTCTTGTGCGAGGTACTTCACTTGAGGAGCTCCGATGGACCCGTATGATTATTTCTATGCCGGAAGCTCGTCTCGTGGACACCCTGACAACTACCAAGAGGAGATGTACGCACCATATGGAGAGCCGTCTTGTTCATATCCAAGTTACCCATATACCTACTCTTATGACGGATGCTCTACTTCCTATGGGTATGGCCCGAGCCATTTTTACCCGACATCTCGAGCTGATTATGCTTATGACATTCCGGGACATGACGAGCCACCTATTGTCAATCCTCCACCTCCGGACTACTACTATCCACCGCCTCCAGATTATGAAAAGGCACCTCCACTCGAGCCGACTCGAAAGGCTTCTTTAGTGAATCTAGCCGAGATTATGGAGCATTTAGAAGAGTGCAATCGATCTCTTCGTGCTTCAATGGCCCCCATGTCCGAAAAAGATGAAACCGAGTCTTATGCTCCATCCTCTCTATTTGAGCACCTATCGGTTGACCAACCTTGTACCTCAAGTTCCGAAGCTTCAATTTCAACAACGGTTGAGCGAACCGAGCGTCACCGAGAGGTTTTGGCGAGCACTCAAGAGGCACTTGTGAGCCTCATGTCGATCATTGAGGAGTTTCATAGTTGGAAGAGCATCCCCATTCCATCTGTTCTTCAAATCACACTCACAAAGTTCGACTCTACCGTGGTCTCTTTCCTTGATTTGGACGCATCTCACATTCCACTTGGTAGATATTGTTCTCTATCAGCGAAGGTTATTCGAGAGAGCACTTGGTTAGAAGGCGAATTTTGAGCTATGGTGGATCGGTTTGCCTCCTTGAAAGAGATGGGCCTCACTCTCGTATACGATAGAACGCAACCTCTCGACACGAGTGAGGACATCGACGATTTGCTTGTTATGGAAATATCCACTCTTGATGATTCGGTCGTGCCACCCACTCTAGGTACGTCAACTCTTTCTCCCGATTATTGTACTTTGAGTGCGAATTCTGTTTTTGAGAGTGAGCATGTAGAATCGGGCGTTGATATGGTGTATGGGATGGGAGAGAATTCATTTGAGGGTTTGATTGTGCCAAACGGGGTTGATAGTCCTCGGGAGGATGATATTGAGGAGGAGGATGTGGTAGTTGATGATTTTGTGGATGTTGTTGAGGAGGATTCTGAGCTATTATGTGATGTTGTTGACCCGGGGTGTGTGTTGATTAGGGAGTCGGCTTGTGATATTGAGTATGACGTGGTTCTCATGTCCTTTGGGTCGTCGTTTGGTATTATTGAGGACCGTCACCATTTGGAGGAGTTTATTGTGCCTACGCCCGTGCTCCCGATGCTTGAGCTTGATGAGTACACGTTCGAGATAGTGCAAACGATGCCCGGGATTGATTCGACGTGCTCCACGAATATTTTTGTATTTTTGGAGGTCGAGTATGGGGCCTTGGTTCGTAAGGATTTATCTCTTTTCTTGGTGGTTGTTGATAACCGTGCTCGGTGTCACAAGAACTCGGCCACGAGAGTATATTGGGCCCGCCTTTGTTCCGTGTTACCGGATCGGCTACTTTTGGAGAATACAAAGGCGTGGCATGATCGTCATTTCTTTTTGGATCCCGGTTGATTTGGTATATTGATGTCGAGTTCAAGACTTTAAAATGAGCGCTTCACGGGAGGCAACCCACGATTATTGCATTTTCTCGTTTTTCATTTTCGTTCGGAATAAATAGCCCCTCAAGCCACACGACATACGGTATTCTAGATGTCCGAATTTTTATCTTTCATGCATACGTGTGTCTTCGTCGAGTTTGTGGATTCCCGATTATTCTCTCTCCGAGACACATACATGTGGCCATTATTCGAAGTTGAAGGATTGGATTCTCTTATGCTTTCAAATGTAATAGTGCCCGGTTGGTTTATGGATCGATATGCTTTTATTGTTCACTCGTTCGGATGGCTTTATTGTGCACCTGAGGACCTTCGGATCATTTCTCGTTATTCCCACCGAACGAACACCATTAGACACACGGTGGTACGCATTTTTTTTCCTATTTTCTTTTTTTTTTGGTTGTTTATTGTGTGTCTCTGTGTTTGTCTTCTTGTCGTATTTTCGTGTATTATGTTTTTTTTCATTTTTATTGCTTGAACTTACATGATTATGTGCTCTCTCTTGTGCTTTTTGGTCAAACAATGGGGACATTGCTTTGTTTTAAGTGTGAGAGAGGGATTTTCGTGATTATGCATGTTTAGGTGATATTTCTTTTGTTTTTAGGTGCTTTATTTTTCATGTTTTTTGTGTCGTGGACTGGTTTTGTTTGAGTTTTTGTGTGTTTGCATCACCTCTCCCGCATGTAGACATGGCCAGGTGCCGGTTCCCGGCCCGCCGGGCTGCCGGTCCTGGATAGGGTGAATCAGAACCGACCCGGTCTAATGCAAGTGTGAGCGTCCTGGTCCGGTTTGGAATGGATCGATCTTTATCCTCACCGGTAGAACGCCGGAAACCTGCAAGTAACTCTCACACCGGGGGTTGTGTCCGGTGAAGAGCCTACGATGCTTAAGTCAGTATGTGTATGAGTATACTGAAGTGAAGAATGGATAGAATGTGTTAAGGGAGAAAGGCTCACCCCCTTTATATAGGAGTGAGATACCTGCCCTAATAGCTGCCCGGATAAGATGAGCTGGCTGCCCAAGCTGCTCGTCCGTACTCTGACACACCGCGCGCATGTCAGAGGTTGTGCGGGGGCGTTGGGGAGCTGTCAGAGGTGGTTATCGGTATCCACCAATGTATTCTCGACACGTGTCCCCCTGCACATGGGGTAAATATTCTCCTTAAATTCGATTAGAGGTTCCTACACGCGCCTGTGACTAGGCCGACTGTTAGGTCCTCGGAGCAATCGATCTGATGAGGTCGAACAGGTTGCTCGATCGCTTATCTGGTCGAGCGATGGATTTGGTCGACTATCTGCCTGGTCGATTACCTAAATGATCAATCCTCTCGCCTTTTGGCTTGGCTTCCTCTTGGTTTGACCTTCTCGACCGGCTGAGCAGACCGGTTTAGCCTTGTGTATATAATATCCCATATCATGGTCAGAATGAAGAGCCGGTTTGACGAACCGGTCATGTACCGACGGGTCAAAAAATCGCCGATTTTCGATCGAGTCCATGCCGGTCCGCCGGTTCCCGGTTTATTTTATATTTATGTATATATTTATATTTATATTAAATACATGCTCATTTTTTTAATGTATGTATATATATATATGTATTTATACTTGACATTAAAAATAAAACTACAATACGTATTTGTAATTGAGAATCAAAGTCAACGTATTTCTTTAACGTATCGAATTACTTGTATTTATTTTTTAAACTTGTGCTTACAAATTTGTTCACAAATCACTGGAAATTTGGAACTAATGAATAGGGGATGAAATTAATGTGAAGTGTTGACGACTCGAACGCGAGCTTAACATTACGTTATTTTACAATCATTTCGTCGAACCTGAGTAAGAATTAAGATGATAAGTACGTATATATAAGAGTTCTATTGTTTGTGCTATCGCAGACGTAATTTATATTTCAAATCATAATACATAATAAAGACTATTGACATCACATCACAGTCGTACATGTCGTTAATGTTTCAACATCAACTTCATTTCGGACAATGATATCATGTCAATATTCTTTATTATGTATTATGATTCAAACTATAAATTTCGTTTGCAATACCACAAACAACAGAACACTTATATATACTTACTTATCATCTGTAGTCTAACTCAATTTCGACGAATGATTGCAAAATAACGCAATGATAAGCTCACGTTCGAGTCGTCAACACATCACATTAATTTCATCCCACTATTCATTAGTTTCAAATTTCCAGTGATTTGTGACCAAAAATTGTACTTTTATTGTACGTCACATATAGACTTGAACTTAATTGACATCTACTAAATATCCAAGGATATATTCAATTAAGGTGCCTATGTATCCCTCATATTGGGAATCAAAGTCCAAGTAGTTCTGTTACAAAACGTCTCGAATATTATTGCTCCATTGTACGGATATAAATATCCAAATGAAATCAACATTTTTTCTAGTTTGCTTATTAGTATCAAATTATAGAGAATAACATGAGGGATGAATCAATTATCATGCGAATAAATGGACACTTGAACACGAAGGAGGAAGCCATTCAAATTTCTCAGTGCCGATGTCACTAGACGCTTTCAAAGACGATAAGCTTATATTGCAGGGCTTCAGCGGCTGAAGCCCTCCAAAATAAGCTTATCGCCCTCTTCGAAAACACCTAGTGACATCAGCACTGAGAAAGTTTTAGTGGCTTCATCGTTCCTGTCCAGGTTTTCATTTATTTGAGCGTAACCGATTCAGCAGTCGTGTTATTCTTTGTAATTTGAAACTACTTTTAAATTTAGATAAAAGATGATGCATTTATCCGAAAATAGTTAGTTTATCAGTATGTTGAGTTTCTCCAGCTTCATAATACAATCCGGCTGCAATACACAACCTCGAGTAATACCGTCGTTCTTTTTGCTAGTGGCCTACAACACGTTACTGAATGGAACTTGTCTATGTTATCATCTTTGTCATACAATATATTTATACCATCATCACACAGCAATTGTGTAGGGATAGTATAAACATCTTGTGCAACAATGATGATAACAAGGACAACTTCTATTAAATAACGTGTTTTTTATGAAACTACAAAAAAATGGCAATATTACTCGGGACTGTGTATTGGAGTCGGATTGCATTATGAAGCTGATGAACCCCAGCATACTGAGGATTTAACTTATGTAAGGTTTTCAAAGGTGGATGAAAGGTTTCCTAAGTAATTGTATTTAAATATGTACTTGAGCGTAATTGACATTTAATAAATATCCGAGGACAGATAACTATAGTCAATTAAGGTGCCTACAAATCTCTAATATAGGGAATCAAAGTCCACGTAGTTCTTTTTGTGTATAAATATTGTGAATTTTTTAATAATTGACTGCAAAGTTACCGGTATATTATTTTGCATTAATTTAACAGATATTGACTCAGAATTCTGATGATGACCAAGTCCCTGATAGAGTTCTCTTGTTTGTGCTATAGCAGGTTTATAAGAGAATTCAAAACAAAATACATAATGAAAAACTTATGATGTGGCATCATCGGTGTCACTGATGTCAAACTTAACTTAGATACAAGATGATGCTTTTATCCGAAAATAGTTAGTTTATCAGTATGTTGAGTTTCACCAGCCTCATAATACAATCCGACTGCAATACACAGCCTCGAGTAATACCGTCGTTCTTTTTGCTAGTGGCCTACAACACGTTATTGAATGGAACTTGTCCATGTTATCATCTTTGTCGTACAATATATTTATACCTTCATCACACAACAATTGTGTAGTGATCGTATAAACATCTTGTGCAACAAAGATAATAACAAGGACACCTTCCATTAAATAACGTGTTTTTTATGACACTACAAAAAAAAATGGCGATATTACTCGGGACTGTGTATTGGAGTCGAATTGCATTATGAAGCTGATGAACCCCAACACACTGAGAAATTAACTTATGTAAGGTTTTCCAAGGTGGATGAAAGGTTTCCTAAGTAATTATATTTAAATATGGACTTGAGCTTAATTGACATTTAATAAATATCCGAGGACAGATGATATAAAGGTGCCTTCGTATCCCTAATATAGGGAATCAAAGTCCACGTAGTTCGTTTTGTGTTTAACGGACATTGACTCAGAATTCTGATGATGACCAAGTCCCTGACAGAGTTCTCTTGTTTGTGCTATAGCAGGTTTATAAGAGAAATCAAAAAAAGAATACATAATGAAAAACTTATGACGTGGCATCATCGGCATCGCTGATGTCAAACTTTTGATTTAATGTCAAACTCCAATAATGTGTTTGAGCAACAACCAGTAACAATGACCCGGAGAGACAACTCATTATTCCCGTTGCACATGAAAAAGAATTCGAATTTACGGATCATCGCTATTGATTGTTGCTGAAACAGATTATATAAGTTCATCATTAAATCAAAACGTTGACATCAGTGACACCGATGACGTCACGCCATGAGTCGTCATTATGTATTATGTGTTGAACTCTCTTATAAACCTATTGTTATACCACAGATACTCGAACCGTTGGACCGCTCCTCTCGGACCGGGTTGCGTCTCCTTGATCGTCGGTACCTGCAAAGCACGCCTGGGGTGGTCCCGGCGCGAACACTCCAACGCTCAAGTCAGTGATGGTCTAGAGAGAAAATGGCAGAGTAACGAGATAACTCGTGATTGTGTGTCGTGTAAAATGAATGAACCTGCTCCTTTTATAGGAGAAATTTAGAGAGTCCTCATGAGACAAGAAGTCTTCTTCATGTATATCTCTTAATTAGATCAAAAGATCATACATCCATAGAGTCCCTGAAGTTGTGAACCTCTTTATGACTTGAGTACACGAGGGTGCCGTGAACTTGAGAGTGCCGCGCACTTGAGGGTGCCGCGCACTAGAGGGTGCCACGCACTTCGGGGTGCCGCGCACTTGGGAGTGCCGCGCACTTCAGGGTGCCGC